GAGCAGAGCTTAAAGATTTTAACCCGCACAGGCAGCAGGCAACCGCCTGGCTGTCGAACGAATGCGGGTGCGGGCAGAAGAGGCAATGCCCCTCCCTGGTAGAGCCGAAAAAAATCTCTCGCTCGCTTCGCTCGCGGTCTTCTACGGTCAATAATGGGTCCAGAGCGTAGCGCAATCGCTCTTAAAACCGCACTTTTCAACTTGCAAAATAGGATTTTTTTTCGCTCGCTTCGCTCGCGATTTTGAATAGAGGATGCTTCCTATCATGGCATGTCAAACTGTCCTCAAGTTTGAATAAAAATGGACAAAATGGACAAAAATAGTCATTGTAGTTCATTTGAGAAAGGGAGGTGGGGTGGGGTGAAACCCTAAAAGACGGCTCAACCCTGGCTGAGGATACTATAAGAGATTTGGAGACGGTGCCTCAAGGGTCGACTAGCATAGCGCAATCCCTCTTAAAACCGCACTTTTCAACTTGAGAAATCGTTTTTTTTTCGCTCGCTTCGCTCGCGGTTTTGAATATAGGATGCTTCCTATCATGGCACGTCAAGTCCTCAAGTTTGAATAAAAATGGACAAATGGACAAAAATGGTCATTGTAGTTCATTAAGGAAAGGGGTAAGTTTTCAGAAAAGGAGGTAGGTTTTTGGTCGAGGAGGTAGGTAGGTCCACTAGCTTGCCCACCCGGCTCAAAATACGATGGCCGCCACTGCCTTTTGCCCTCTCTTCTGACTTCTCACCTTGCTTCGCTTTTAATTCACTTTTTTCGTCTCTCTCTCTCTCTCCCTTCGTTTCACTCGATTCGATCGCCGTTCGTTCGTTCTTATCGCTCCCGGCTGATCGTGGCCGGGCCGACGCCTCTGCGTCTCCCGTCACGTGACACACGTGTGACGTGAGGCTGGATGACGAGACGCGTGTGTGTGACGTGGGCGCGACAGCCTCTCTCTCTTTTTTTGGAGGGGTAGTTGTTGTGTGATGTGTGTGTGGTGTCCTTCCCCTCCGAGCCGATATATACCTTGAGGTGTGCTGTACTATACCCGGAGAGGTTGTGCAGAGGTTGTGACCATGTCACACCGCCACGCCCCGCCACGTCCCGCTCACCGCGGCCGGACATCTTACGCATGTGCTGTCTGTCTGTGCAGAAACACACCAACACACACACACACGCACACGCACTCTTACACACCTGCGACACCGCTCCTGATGTACGACCCGAGCAAACAACGGCATGGAGCACTACTCGCGGGGCGGGGCGGCCGTCCGGCCAGGTATCTGTCGCGGCCGGCCGCGGCGCGCGGGGCGTTAGTGTCCATTCAATGCCGACGTGTCGTCGCGTTGCGCGGCGCAGTTTAGCCGCGCGGTGCAACTTTTCATGCTTAGCCTCACGCGGAGGCCTGGCGTGGCCTGGCGTGGCGGGGCGTGGCGGGGCGGTCAGGTCGAAGTGCGCGGCGGCGCGGTGTGGCGTGGCCAAAGGCCGTTCCAGCCAACCTGCTCCGTGTGCGTGGCGCGGCCACAGCTCAGCACTTCCTTCTGACCGCCCCGCCCCGCAGGTGAAGCCTCGCGCTCTGGGGCTGGACGCTCGGGTTACCCAAAGCGCTTACAGTCGATGTGAGTCACGCCGGTTCGTCGAGGGGCTCGCGGCTTCGCGGCCCCACTGGAAGCGCTTCGCTGTCATCCCTGCCGTCGTTCGAACGCACTGCGCCCACGCGCCTCTT